TCTAGTATTTTACAGACATGTTTTAATTACTGACCTAATCTTCTAAACAAACCAAAAGCGATATGGAATAGGAGTTGAACCAGTTTGCAATTAGAGAGTAAATTTAGTCTGAGATTCTGATAGGTGTAATTCATTTCTCTTCGAACTAGTCAGTAGCATGAGGGTTGGTTTCAAAATTCTATTATTTTCGTGTGTTTTTCATGTTCACCAATCTCACCAATTTTTATCACAAACCTGATTGTTCATTCCAACAATTTACGAAATTAATTTTAAAAGAAAACTAGTCCGTGTGGAGACGAACTTGGAATATTTCCAGATTATTACTTATGACAGTGTGCACTTGCACTCGTCCCTCCTGCTATTAAGCAGAGGCGCAACAATATTGTATTAAAAATAATGTGTAGGACCTACCAACGTTACAAAAATTATTTATAAATGTAAAATCATAGGATTAACAGAAAGAGTATGACTATTATATATATATGTATATGTATATATTATGTCTCTAAAGAGACAGTTAATGAGAAAGAAGGTAAAGAGTTAATAGGAGGGAGTGTGAGCAAGAAATTATTTACAAAAGAAATTTAGTCTTATCTGAAAATTAAAGTACATATACATTCTAATAAATGAAATGTGTTCTTCTGTCATAATTAATGATTACTTACAATTTTTCTAATTAATATGCTGGATTATTTACAATCTTTCATATTTACAATGAAAAGCCAACATTGGCATTAGAAAGTTCACATATAAATAAATCATTAATACACTTTTATCATTTTTCGAAAAAAAAAATCAATACACTATTATTTTTTTTTAAGGTTGAAAATTTGATACGATATGTATATTTGTTGAATAAAAAATAGAGATGACAGGACAATAAAAAAGCATCCCTTGAAAATCAAACTATGGATTTGTATATGAAATAAGACATAAACATGCACAAATTTAAAAGGGTACAGTTTTCTAATATAATTTTAATATTTGAACATAATTCAAATATAGTTATTTTGACGGAAATTTCAACACATTTGAATTATGTTTGCTAAATATTTCCATTTCTTAATATATATTTATTTACTTATTTATTGACTTAGACAAATATTATAGTTAAACCAGATTTAACTTTTAAAAAGGAATAGGATCCTCCACCATCAAGGATCGAGCTATATTTTGGTTGGTTATAGTTTAATTCCAAACTGATTCGAGTAGATATATTAAAGTTAAAACTTAAATCAAATACATCGTATGCATCATTTGGTACTAGATAACCATGAACTTTGTAACAAAAAAACAAAGAGAAAATGGCAGAGAAAATGATACTCATCAAAGCATGCTTCCAACCAAAAACTATCCTACTATTTCTATATGATGGGTCAATTTAAGTTTGTGCTACCTGTTTAATGAAACTATCAAACAGCCATGATAAGTCTCGTAAACTTTTAAATTTTGTTGTCTTTCAATCAGTAGTTAGAAAATCCCAACTCTTTTTCATGGATTTTTTTCTGTTCTTCCAATCTGCATCTTAAGAAGACATTTCTTTGTAATTTAACTTAATTAAATAATTATTATGTTTTTCTTGTTGCCAAACAATAAAATCAACAACACACATAGGCATAAGATGAAAATATTGAAACACTCCAAACTTTTTATTACTTGATAAAGTAAAAGGCACACACAATATTCACGTAGTTAGGTAATATGAACATGCCTTATTTTCACACGAGGATCAAACTCTCAACAGACAACATATTCTTCAAGCATGAAGTTGTAGTAGCTGCTACTTCAAAGTTACATTGTAACATAACTTCCATGTCCAAGCCTCAGCTCGGAAGACATGATATCTTGGTCAAAAGCTAGAACTTGTTGTTGGTAATTCAGCAGCAACTGGATGTTGGCAGTTACAACGTTTGAACTAACGTTGTTTATTTGAACCTTTTTACCTTGATTGTCGGTAAGCAAAACAGGATCTTTAAACTTCCCATTATTCTTCTCCGCTATTTGAATTTGTTTGGAGAGAGCACCCCAATTGTTTTCTAAACTTAAAAGTGCTTCACTTGGTAGGAAGTCTTTCTCAACATCCTTGCCAATTACTTTCTCAATATATTGAAATCTTGCAGCTTCAGCAGTACTCTGAATGAGTACAAGAAATGCTGCTGCAATAGCATTACGAGGGCTAGTGTCGTAGTAAACCAAGTTGGTAATGGCATTGTTCATGGCCGGAAGTCCAAGGGGAATACGTTCTCGAATTTTGCCTGCAGCAGTTTCAAGACCTGCATAGTTGCTAGTAAATGGAAGTGTAACTCTCCGCTGAGCATCTTTGAATACAAATTTGGAAGCTTCAGCAGCAGCAGGCTCATTAAAAAAGTACGATACGTGACCGTTGCGATACCCCATAATGTAAACGTTTATCACATCTACAGCCAACGTGATGGTTTGATCGTCATAATTGTAAAGATGGACTAGTGTGTAGCGACTTGGACCTGGAACCGTAAGAGATAATAGTCTTATATTGTACACTCTCTTATGAGATGCAAGATCATTTCTGAAATTCGCAATGAAATCTTTATAGGATTTGGTTGTAGCACCCAACAAACGGAAGCTGACATCGCCTTCAACAGCAAGGAAGAATGTGGCGAGAATGCTTAGCAAAGAAAACACTAAGAATTTGCTCATATTTTCCATTTGGATTCCAATATATCCCAACATCTAAAAGTTATGCTTTTTATAGACAGCTATGCCATGGACCATTTACCAATATATTTTTTAAAATATAAAATATATTACGTAACAGTTACAAAAGGACAAGGTGGTCCATTTCTATTGTGTTAACGCTATTTGAAAAGATATTTGTTTATGTTTTAGTCCTTATGTGGAGGGGTTTTCTCAAGACAATTTTAAAAACATTTTAAATTAATTAAAAAACATGCTAAATTTCTCATAAAATTTGAACCTATAGAAGACTTAGGTAACTAACTCAAAACATTTTAAATAAATAAAAATAAAAATAATATTAGTTATAAAAGAAAAACAATGGAAACAATAGGATTAGCTATAAAAGAAAAACAATGGAAAACATTAGTACATAAAGAAAAAAAGTCTAAGATATATATACCTTCTTTGAGAGGGGATTTGTCTCACCTCATTATTCGAAAATAAACACCATTGGTTAGCATAAAAGTTATATCTACGTCAAAGTATGATAACATAAGCATAGTTCAACAATAATTGACATTTATCTCTAAGTAAGAGGTCATGAGTTCGAATCTTCAAATTATCAATTTGTGTACTAAAAAAATAATAAATAAACAAATATCAAACTGGAATTATAATATCTCAATCCAAACCGGAGTTCAAGTTTTGTCAAATTCTTTCTTTCAACTTTAAATATTAACCATTCAAAATCACCAGAAAAAGTGTTTAACCGAGCGATCACTCAAATTTGTACCCATCTAAAAAACTATATAGTTTGTCATTTGTGGGCCAAGTGAGTCCTTAGGCAGTGTTAAGGAACAGAGCAGCTAATTTTGGTCGTAATTTGAAGCGGTGAGCCACGTAATTTCCAAGTTGGCAGATGGCAGCACACGTATCAAGAATCTCACAGCTAATTTTTGCCACGTGGGACACGCACTCCACCCACGAAGCATCTTCTGAGTTCTAAAGGATCCAAACAAACTTTATAGAAAAATCCGCCAAAATCGCATCCAACACATAATAGTTCCAATCTGCGTTCATAACAAATAATTTCAAAACATGAATGAAGGGATGGTAATAAAAAATTTTCATTTCTTTCCGTAGTATTTACTAAATTATGTAGGAACGGAATCAAATGATGGCTTCTAGCTAGTCCTACTGGTTTCATCAGAATCTTTTTCGTTGATGTCATCAGTGTCAATATGAGTTGCTTGTAACTGTTCCGAGAGAAATCCAAACTGATTAATAGACATAGATTACTCCTCTTGAACCCTACGAATATTGATAAGTATGGCATCGTGTGTTGGTAGTTAAAACTCTTATTGACCGAGAAATTTCGGCCAATTATTAAATGTCATGCCACAAATTTAAAATTATATTTAGAACCAATCACAAGCAAACACGTGTCCTACATTAATTTTTAAATCAATAAATCAAATTGTGACACGTATCTCTCTTATGTCGTCCGATGAACTAATTAGATCAAAATCCATGAAGAAACTGGGTCCAAGCCCATGGCCCATTAAACCCATGACCCATAAAAGACCCACCAAGACTCTATAAATAGAGGGGTCGAAAAAGAAGGAATGGGAGAGATCCAGAAGAATTGGAGATTCAGAACACGAATTTAGTCTTCTCTCCCCAAGCAACAATACTTGGAGACTGCATCAAACTGCCAATTCTTCATCAAATTGGCCGAAGAACTGCAAATCCAAAGAACTTCAACAAGCTGCAAAGCCGAAGAACTTCACAAGCACAACAAAGACTTCAAAGATTCTTCAATAAGCTAAAAGCTGAAGATAATCCGAAAATATGGAAATTTCAAATCTTTAGATGATGAATTCAAATATATTTGTAAATTAAAGATAAGAAATCAAGAGGAATTACCCGTGCATCAACTGGAAGATTGTAATTTTGGACAAAAAAAATATTCTCTTTAAAAGGAAATCTAAAGGAGCAAAAAAAAAAAAAAAGAAGGTTAGTAAAGGCTTTTTCTCGATGTTTTAATTGTGTGCTTCCAGTGTTCTTGGAAGAGCACTCCCTTTTCAAAATATTAGTGGGAGTGCGCGAGAATGTCGGAGAGTAAAAGATCGAGAAAGAAACAAAACAAAAAAAGTTTAATTACCTTGGTGCAAGATCAATCTGCTAAGAGATATATCGACGAGAATCAAGGAAAAAAGAACAAAAGGGACTTGGACCTCGAATAGTGAGGGCCAATAGCCTTATATTTATACACTTTCTTCTTAGATCCAAGATCATTTCTGAAAGTTGCGATGAATTCTCTTATAGAATTTGGTAGTAGCACCCAAAAAACGAAAGCTAACATCACTCACAACGACAAGGAAGAACATGACCAAAATACTTAGCGAAGAAAACACGAGAATTTGCTCATCTTTTCAACTTGGATCACTTGGATGCTATCCCAACATCTCAAATTATTAGTGTTTTCTTTGCTAAGTATTCCATATTCGATGTTAGCTTCCGTTTGATAGGAGCTTACAACTTTCAGAAATGATCTTACATCTCGGAAGAAAGTGTACAATATGAGGTTATTGCCTCTCACCATTCGAGGTCCAAGTGGTTACACATTAGTCCATCTTCACAATGATGATGATCAAACCATCACGTTGGCAGTAGATGTAGTAAACGTTTATGTTATGGGGTATCGCAACGGTCATGTATCCTACTTTTTCAATGAATATGCTGCCGAAGCTTCCAAATTTGTATTCAAATATGCTCCGTGGAGAGTCACACTTCTATTTATAGCAACTACGCAGTCTTGAAACTACTGCAAGCAAAATTCGAGAACGTATTCCCCTTGGACTCCCGACCATGATCAATGTTGTTACCAACTTGGTTTACTATGACTCTAGCCCTCGTATTGCTGCTGCAGCAGAGGCTGCAAGATTTCAATATATCGAGAAAGTAATAAACAATTAATGGTTTTAAGCAAGACTCCCCATCAAGTGAAGCACTTTTAAGTTTAGAAAATAATTAGGGTGCTGTCTCGAAACAAATTCAGATAATAGAGAATAATGATGGACAGTTTAAAGATCCAGTTTTGCTTACTGACAATCAACCTAAAAGGGTTCAAATAAACAACAAATGATGTAACTGCCAACATCCAGTTTTTGCTAAATTACCAATAGCAAGTTCTAGCTTTTAACCAAGATATCATTTATTCAGATCAACTGAGCCTTGGACATGGAAATAATTATGTTATTATGTAACATTAAAGCAGCAACTACTACAACTCCATGCTTTTGAAGAATATGTTGTGTGTTTGAGAGTTTAATCCTTGTGTGGAAATAAGGCATGTTCATGTGACCTAACTACGTGAATGCTCTGTGTGTGGATGTTATTCTATCAAGTAATAAAAAGTGTTAAGTCTTCCAATATTTTCATCTTATGCATATGTGTTGTTGATTTTATTTTGTAGCAACAAGAGAAACATAATAATTATGGAAAAATTTCTAAAAAGAGTTAGAATTTTCTAACTACTAATTGAAAGACAGCCAAACTCAAAAGTTCGTGGTTTACCATGGTCGTGGTTATCTAGACACAAAAATTCTAACAAAGTAATTTTTTACTATCAAATTTATTAAATTAATTAAGTTCCATAAAAAATAATTTTATTTTATTTTTAAATTTCTCATATGTTTTTAATCCACGTTTTAAAAAATAAAATATGCATTACTAATTATTAAAAATATAAAAATTTATTTATGATTTTAAAAATAATTTTCCTCATCTCAAAATAATATTGGAAAAGTGAATTCAATATTACAAAATTAAATAATTAATTCTCTATGTCAGATTTTTGGGAGAAATTGAATTTTAATAAAAAAAGAAATACTCAATCTCTGTTTAACAACGGTTAAGATTTGGTATGAGAATTTTCTTGAATGAAAGGAATTCATTAGAAATTTTGTGTATTTACAAAATTGGAAAATAAAAATCATCCCGAGAACAAACGATAAGTTTCTTTGCATTTATGATTTCTTGAAAAAAATAATGTAATGTTTTAAAACTTTTTAAATTAAATATAGTTAATAGAAATATTAACTTTGTGAAATTAATTTTGTTGAATGGAATTTTAACCCAAAAAAATAAAAATATAAATATAAAGAAAACATTTACTAAATCTCGAAAAAATAAATATTTTTTTTCAGATTTATGATTTTTTTTAATTTTAAAATGTTAGAAGACATTGAAGTTGATTTACTATTTTTACTTAATTCATAAAAACATAATAATTGATTGAAAAAAAATTACATCTTCCATGTGATCTAGTAATTAAAAGTTAAAAATCAAACCAACATTTACATTCAAATATACCTGGTATCAAATATTAAATGTATCTAATTTATGAAGTTGAATAATTAAACATGGATGAAATGTAGTAACTAAATAAAATAATAAGAAATTTTGGAACTTTGCAAGAAATATTTTTTACAACAAAATCACATAAAAAAATTTCTCTATATAATAAAAGTGGAAAATTAATCCCCTATTCAATATTGAAAGAGAACAAGTATTTTAGCAGTTTGAAAGGAGAATGAAAATATGGAAAATTTAAAATCTTTAGATGATAATAAAATTCAACTAGATTGGTAGATTAAAGATTAAATGAGGAATAATAACCGTTCACCAACTGTTTCAATTTTGATGAAGAGAATATTTTTCTTGAAAAAGAAATTTAAAAGAGTATACAAAAATTGGTGAGTCTTAGAATTTTTTCTCTATGTTTTATTGTGTGCTCCCATGTATTCATGGAAGAGTACTCCCATTTCAAAATATTAGTGGTAAGGGAGAATGCGAGAGATCAGTAAGAAAGAAAGAAACAAAATGGAAAAAAAATTAATTAATTGCCTCGGTCCGCCATCTATTTGCTGGACATATTCTCATGCAGAAGAGACCTGAGAAAGAATTTTGAAGAATTTTGAGAGTTGAAGAGAGAAAATTGAAAGAATTCAAAGAATATCATCGTTCACAGAGACAGAG